GAAGCATACTATTTTCATTAACAATCGGCATCCAAAAATCGATGACTTTAGCTCGATACACCTGATTGGCCTAATTAGTACTTTGCCACTGATATGTTTCTTGTATTTTCCCTGGATATATGAATATATCAAATATGTACAAAACATATTATATGAAATTTACACAGAAAGACCCATTTCATTATTAAGGGCATTGGTCATTACAATTCTGTGATCTCACTTATCTGGAGTCGATACCTGAATAGTCGCTGGACTATCCTGATAAAGTAGAGACTTGCATATTGTTAAAAATTGGATTCATTTTCTGTCGATATTTGCAGAGTTATTATCGATATATGTCAGTAACTGTTTCAGTATTGTCAGTGTCATGAATCCAGTGATTCATGTGTATAATTTTTACGGTTGCTTATATGAAGAAAATAAAAAACACTCCAGAAATATTCTGTTAAAACATTTTATCATTATAACTATACGTTAGAAATTTGGTTTTTGCTGGGTCTTATCAATATGACTATGGTATATTAGTTATTAATGTCCTTTTTAACCCCTGATTAGTCCCTTATAAACTTGCGTTACTGAAATAAAATATCTTTGCTGAAAGTACATTTTCTAAATATTTAAATAAAATCCACAATTTAGAGCACTTATAAAATTTTAACGTTTTATCAAGAAAAATTCAAAAGCGTTAATTACTCTTCATATATACCTACTTCCTTAACGTTTTTGATTATTTAAACCATGAGTGTCCAGACCATATGCGAACGTGGGTCAATACAAATTACTGTACAGATTGGAGGGCCGCAGAAATAAAAACCTTCGTTCATAGTTGTTATTATAAATTAGTTTTATTTTTTATCAATTTAAATTCATTTATTTTTTATCAATTTAAATTCATTTATTTGGTATACCATAAAAATAAAATAATGTGGTTTTACCAGTATACCAAAAGTAAATTTGCGTAAGTATAGTAGATTAAAACTATGTCGCGGGCCGCACAAACATTAGCCGTGGGCCGCATGTGGCCCGCGGGCCGTACCCTGGACAGCCCTGATTTAAACTATCCTCTTTTCTAAATATCTTATTATTTCATATTGTATATAAAATGAAACAATGATCTCGTTTATTTTTTAAATAGCATATATTTATCTATATTAAATAAATTTGAAATGTTGCATATACCTACATATATACGTATATTTAATTAAATTTTATTTTTTTAAATTAAACATATATTAGCTGACATTTATTGTTTTACACACATATAAATCATTTTCTTAAGAGTAAATTAACTTTTTTGTAGACATTTCTAATGCTTTTTAGTCTTTTTAGGGAGCATGTGAGTTTTTATGTTAAAATCTGTGAAATGTATTATAAAATATTAAAAATAGTTTATGAAGTTTTTATGTTTTATCTTGACAATTTTTAGATTTTATATATATTTTTATACTAGTATATATTTACAGCATAGCGTGCATTTATTTCTTTAGCAGATTTGCAGAATTTCTGTTAATTTAACATAATTTTAAAGTTTAACATAGTGATAGTGCAATTCACTGTTACTTTAACATTAGTTAGTTTTAATTGTTTATTAGGTTTAACATCAATTTGCTTATTAAACTTTTTATTTTTTTTTTAATTTCAGTATAGAGAAGTGAGTTTCATTATTAATTCATAGCAAATTGTTGCAAATTTATTGCACTTCAATTCATCAGCTTTTAATTTTATTTACATAATTTAAATATTTAATTCACATTAATTTATTTTTCTCTTTTTTGTTTGACGTCCACATCACATTTAATTATTTGTTACCATCGGAAACTGTTATTATTATTTGCCGATTGTAATCAATGAATATTTTAAATGCCGTTAATATGTTATGAATACTTTTAATTGCTTAAGGCTATTAATTTTAATTTTAGTTAATTAATTCATTTCAATTCAAATAGCAAAAAATTCACCTGAAAATGGGCTCCAGTTAATTTATTATTTATTCATTGCATTTTAGCTGCTGTCAACAATTGTTCAGTGTTTTTTCTTTCAGTGCGATAATAATAATTTATTTATTATCTTTTACATGTAAAAACTCAGTTTAATAAAATGCCAAATTATGATATATTTTTTTAAGTGTGTTAAAATTAAAAACACTCAAGAGTTTATTTTTAAAATAAAAATTTTTTTAATCATATTAAAAAACTATTTTTTAATTGTTTAAAATATACAAATATGAAATTAACACAAAATTGACGAAATAATTATTTCAGTAGACTTGAACCAATGTTCGAATTGGTTATTGGAATAATATACAAAGATGTACATACCTTTGAAAGAACCCAATTAAAACGATATGTCGTTTTAGCGGCAGATATTTACCGAAGGTATTCATATTTCAGTAACAGAAAGGTAGAAATGATAGATAAATGATTGCTATCCAATTTGCGATAGTTTAGTGTAATAATCGCATTTACGACACCTTAATCGTCTTAAAATCTACAGTATATATTAAAAGTTGTTAAGTAAAAGATCGGTTTTTGATTCTCAGGATTTCGATAGTTTTTCATTAAGTTTGACATACCATCAGTGAAATAAATATATATATAAATCGCTTAAATTTGACCGATCGATTGTGCTAATAAACAAACAGAAAACAATTCAACAATTGAGTAAAGGTCTTCAATTGACTATTGCCTTCAGTTGTCAAAATGCGAATTATAAAGATATATCTTCAGGGCTAAAAATTGCTTTATTCTGGAATACCGACGATAAAGACTCTCATTTTGATAATTTAATTGCTCTGTGACTGAAAACAAAAATTCGATAAACGAAAAACATCACTAATATATAATTCAGTGCGACAAATCTGCATACAAAGTTAGTATTCTTCAAATACTGCATTAAATTTGAGAATTAACTGAAATTACCTTATCTGATTTTGGATTTGATTGAATAGTGGGAACATACGGTAGAGTCATATGCTATAAAAATAACAAGCTTTTTTTAGGAGTATGTACTTATTAATGTCTTGAAGATATGTAGTTCCTTATTCCCCCATAGAATAAACTATAAAATTATATTGACCTCAACAATTAGAAATACACGTCTCTAATGACAACATGCTTTGGGATATTTCCAACAAAAATTGCCAAAGAAGGAAATATTTCATTCCCAAAGCTTAGAAAAACAAAATAGATCAACTATGTAATCAAAAAACGAAAGTCTTATATTTGGGAAAATCGCTAAAGCTGAGAATTTAAATAGCAACCTCTTTGACAATGCATGGTTAGATTTAAAAACAAGACAATTACTACAAAAACATCACAGGGTATTGCAAGTAAGTCTTTTCTGAACTGTTATAGATGATAATCAAAAAGAATTAAAGTCAGAGGGGAGAGGGAAGAAAGTCGTTAGGGAGTGCTAAACGCACCTATACTATCTAATAAGAGCTGAAAAAGCTTTTCCAACGAAGCAGAAAACAAAGTAGGATAAATATATGTTCCCTACTCTTGCTAGAGATGAAAAATTAGTTTCAAAGTTACAGAGGAATACGATAAGCTAGCTTTCGTATATTGGAAGCAATATCTTAATAAAACACGTATTATGAAGTCACAACTGTCTACTTTGGAAGGTACAATTCAAGTAGCTCAGTAGTTTGTTATATTACAAACCTCAAATAATTACCAATAGAAAAATGTTTATGCAAATTAGGGTAGATACATGTGGTAGCTTGTTTTATATAAATAACATATAAATATAAAGACACATACCAAGTAAGGAGGATAACCCCATAAAACCACGTAATTTCGAAATTCAATTTCGAACACAGTTAACACTTTTTTGTTCACCATATTCCAGTAATTGTTAGAGACTACCCCTAATTGATAGTAATCGGTTCACTTGCTTTAGTTTCGCAAAATTTTTCTGTTCAATTACAAATACGTATTATGGATTTTCCAATATTGTCTACAAACTTTAATGTTAATATGCCAATGATTCCTGTCGATGATTTAGGAGAAGGAAACATCTGAACATGTTCTATGCAACTGCCCAGCGGCGGCCAGACGTAGACTTAACTACCTTGGAAGCGTGATCTTGGTCCCAAAATTAAATAGGTAAAATTAAGCTCACAACAATTACGAGATTTATAAATAGTCTAGAATTGTTTTTGTTGGGATTTTAGGTGCACAACAGATCTTTTAGGTCGAGGTGCATTCTTAGCATATTATTTAATTATAATAAAATATGCCAGTGTATGAAAAAATCTTGGCAAAGTCAAGCAAGTGTAAACGCTTGATGAGACTTTATAGAGAGTTGCCGTAATATAAATACTCAGTAAAATTAAAAATTTTATTTTGTGTAATTATTTAAATGTTTTATATGATGTGATATCCTTTTCTATTGCATATTATATGTAATATTATAGAATGGTTATGACAGGTCTTAACTTTTCTATTCATATGAATATTTTATTTTGTTGGTTTGAATTTCTAAAATGCAATGTTTAATAAGCTTATTAAAGTTATTTATTTCAAGCAATAGCTAATAGGTATAAAAATTATTTTTCCTATACTAAAAAGTTTAATTTTTTAAGATAATTATACTTTTTTCGATAGGAGTATATGCTACTTTGTTATCATAGCCCAACATATATATTCAAATTTTTTTTAATTTTATAATGTTACTGAAACACTTACTATATCAGTTGTTAAAATAATATTAAGAAAAAAGATTAAAAAAAAAAACAAAACAATTAATTTTTTAATTAAATTATGACTCAATATATTTTGAAATTTTATTCCTTATATATAAATACTTATAGAATATAATACAATTTGATCTTAAATTAAAAATAATTTTAAATAAAAAATTAAATACAATTCATACATAAATAATACTCAGTCTTGCTTAAAAACTAAAATAAATACAAAAAAAAAATCATTAAAAAAAACTAATTAAAATATACAAATTTAATATTTAACAAATAAAATAAATACTAATAAGTCTCTTTTTAACATTGTGTTTTATATTTACATATTTACAAGGATAACATTATGAAGTAATGTTTGACGCTTAATGAGTTGATGTCAATCACGCCACAACAACTCCAACAAATTCATCATCATTGACATCGTCAACATTATTGTTGTCAATTGTTGCTTTTACATTTATTGCTGTTGATGAAGTTACTGGTGATGTGGGCGTTGAACTGACCGCTTTTGAAACATTTAGTCGCTCATCCTCTGCGGGACTCATAATTGAAATCCTTATCGCTTCGGACTTTTCATTTGTTGACAATAGAGCAACACTGGCGCCAACATCGTATGCTGGTGGTGCCATATCGACGCTTATCAATTTATGAAATTTTTGCTTTGATACCTTCTCCTTGCGCCTCGATGTTAAATCTTCTTTTTCCCAATTTGTTATGTTTGTGCAACCATTACCAGTTATGGCTGGATGATGATGCACCGCAGCTAATGATGGGTACACAAATTTCATGCCAAATGAGAAGTGTTGATGATGTAGTGCCTCATCGTAGGTTGGCAATCCAGTTGCAATTGTATAACAGGGTGGTGATTCCATTTGATAGTAAGCAGCTTCATTGCCATCTATTTGACTAGTATGTGTAACAATTGTACCACCTGGGTACATGTCATTGTTCAAATGTGCTCGTATGTCCTTATCTGTAAATAGAATAATCGAAATGTATTGTTTAGTTAAACAGAAACGTGACTTGATTTTAATTAAATTTTGTTAAAGTTAACTAGGAGGAGAAGTAAACTTTCATATTTAAATTTCAATATTAGAATTTTTCTTTAAATTATAGAAATTTTTGTTCTCTACATATGCATTACTAATAGTGGAGTTATGGGTGCGCTCACTGGTACTGATAGCTCAGGGCGCCAGATCTCCTAAATTCAATTAATTCTGATCACACTAAAACTTTTAAGCTTACCTTAATTTTTTTTATACTGTTCGTAAATTGTCATTTTGATTTTTACTTAATGGGAGGACTCGGATTTGCTGGTACGTCGACCTCTAGTCTATGTATGAACAAACGCTAATCCTATGGTACTACAATGGGTCATTATTTAAGGTCATCTTTGGGACTTTCGGTACAGCTAATCTTATGCTACTACAAAGGATCATTGTTTGAGCTCAAGATGGCTTCGGACAACCTAACCTGACCTGTACGTAAACAGTAGTCTAATTTGCCAGATATGTTAGATTTTATTAGGCAGTGGCTAATAAACAGCGCCGCTAATATAAAGTAATTTTTATTTTATGATTAAGTATTATTTTACAATTTCATATCTTTTTCATTCTTATTTTCGTGTTTTCATATCTTTATCGTCATTGTTTTTAGTGTTTTCTTATGGATCTCATATAGCTAAGTGGAAGTATTATACTAATCTCGTTCAGATTGATTACATGTCCAACTTTGACAAAAGTTGTGATACTATACGGTTGTAAGCTGGATGTAATATTGAATGATAATTTTGAGGGAATAGCTATATAAAAAATTCTCACTATATTTAAATTTACAAGGGACACAAAAAATTTCTACTAAATAGATAAAAATCAGAATAATCTCATAAAAATATTGAGGCAATGGGATTACAAAATCACACCAACTGCTATATTGATGAACTTGCTTGCAGAAGTGTAATAGGGACACAATCGCACCATTAGCAACTATAGGTATATTTTTAATTCCCTTAAGACAGCTAGTACTCATATAACTCTGTCTCTAGCTTGTACTTCTAGGTACTCAGAGGTCAATGTTTACCATCAATCAGTGCTACCTATATACTTTCCTATACGTTATGTTTCCTGCATATTATAGACTGAAGTTAGACGGACATAAAAAAGTGAATGAAATAAAAAGATAAATTCTGTTTATGTGAAATTTCGTGTTTAAGATTGTCATTTATAATAATTTTCTTTGCTATTTTTATTTTTTAAAAATACAATAGAATTTTGTGTTCCCTAAAATTTCATAGTTCTTAAAATTTTTTGTAGCTTGATTGAACCACAAAAAGTGTCAATCAATTTATTTTATATCAACATCTCAAAGAAAAAAATTCTACGATAATAAATAATCCAAAATATGAAAAGACTTGTAAGGATTTAAAAAGGATATGCCATAATTGAAAATCAATAGAAAAAATATAGAAATACAATCTTACATTTTAAAGATTAGTATCCCCTTTCGAAACGAATAAAAAAATACTAAATTCACTTAATTCTTTTCCCTACAATCACTTGCTCAACACACTTAGAGCTGTCAAATTTTGATGAGTCTTAGTTTGAGTGTTGTTTGCTTTGACATAGTGCGCAGTGAAGTTTTTATCGGAGATAGGAAACACTTGTTTATCTCTTCGCTATGCATTCAAAATTTATAGATATATTATTATGTGTATGTTGTGGGAGTATGTTTAGTCTCCCCGGATTATGTTGAAGTAAAATGAAGGTGTGATGTACGTCATGGCAGCAGACATTGAAGCAACCAAATGAAGTAACAAAACACCAGAAAACTGGCACACAGTTGGAAACTATCAGAAACTATTTCAATAATGTTGACAGTTGCATGAGTTTGAATTCGGTTGCTGATAAAATCTATTGAAATTCGAGAGATATTTGTTTTTTACTATAGCTTTCTATATTCTTTCAATAGTACAAAATAAAAAAGAAAATAAAGTTGTTTGGAATTGCAAATTAGAAATTCATGCAAATTTGAATTGGTATTTCTTTGGATGCAGTATTTGACTTAACTACATTTCAATTACACAAATTACACAAAGTGCATACCACTATCTTAAATATGCCATATATACACAAATTTAACTGGAAGTCTGTTGCAATCCTTTTAGTTCCCAAACTTTATTTTCAATTACAAAGTTTAACTGCACTACGTGTATAAATCTTTGAGCACGTAAATAAATATAACCTAAGAAATACTCGTATGTCACAAAAATTAATACTCGAATGAAGTTTAAGCATAAATACCGAAGTTTGTCAGAGAAAATATATGCAGTGTATCCTTTGGGTCACCTCAATACGAATGATAGTAGAAAATATTCAAATAGATTGAACGTTTGAAAACCGTAATCAAAATTGTTCTACTTTTTGTTTTTACACAAAAGTTCTTTGTGAATTCTCATATAACTATAGATACTAAAAGGTATAAAAAACTTTGAGTGTACTTTACAAGCTCACAAATGTTTCTATAAATCCCGTATAAACACTCCTCAAAATTATTTGTACTAAATTGCATTTTAATGGCACTGAAAAATGCTCAACACATTTTCAGTTTATGTCTTTGTGCCCGTAATTTTATTTACCATTAAACGTGTCTGAGCTGCAGTAGGTCAGTCAATGTACACAGAAATTCTGATATCCACATGCAGACTTTATTTACGAGTATTTGCCTGAAAGAATGTTGATTGAATTAACTCAAATTTCTACTATATTGAAAATTGAACATGTCAGCGCCTAAAAGCCAGCCACACTTACTGCCGTATTGCTTTCGTGGCATACATGCAGGCGCATATCAGCATTTTTACTCTTGGAATTTATTTTTAATTATTTATGTTTAAACTATGAGTGGTAACCGGTCTGACTGACTGAGTGACTGACACTAGCCAGTGTTTTAAATTGTTCATTAAGGTATTTAAATAAAGTATGTGCCATGTCTGTGAGTAAGTGTGCATGAGTATCTGTTCTGCTGTTTTGTTCTATGGCTTGTCTCTTATTTTAAAACAATTTGTGTTTGTATTTCTCTACCGTACTCTTCTTTTTTCGATTTTATTGCATATTTTTGCCTTTTTGCGGCATTTGAGTTGGCTTACACTGGATCTACTATATAGAATATGCACATTCTCATGGTATGGCAATTTTGGGTTAGCATGTGTGAGAGTTACCAACAGGCACAATATGCCGCATCTGTAATATTTTATGCACAGAAAAATAATAATAAAAAGCAGGCATCATTTATTAAAAAATGCTGCATACAAGTTGAAATGCAGCAATAAAAAATAAAAAAAATAAAAGGAAAAACAATACAACATATACGAAAAAGATATATAAAAGAAGAAAATATTTTTATATATATTTTATTATGTTGCTTTACTTTTTGGTGCGCCCAAGCATATGCAGCAATTTAAATTCATTGCATGCCATTTACTGGAGTACACTTTGCATTTGGTGAGGCGCATGCAATCGTGTAGATTTTTGTGCGCCTATAACTGTGCCTGCAATTTTTTATTATTTATGCATATTGGTGTATTTGTTAATTTTTAATTTTTTATGCGAAATTTTATTACAAAATGCGGCAAAGTAGGCAATAATTCACTATGAGCATCTGCTATAGTGACAATTTTTTTTTTGCCCAACAATTATTTTTAAATGGTTTTCTTTTGTATTTTTTTTTTATTGTTCCTGCCTCGGTAGTTGTTTGACAGTTTTCAGCACATAAATTTTAATTGCCTAAAACTGTGCTATAAATGCACTAAATATTTTAACCCATAAAATGCAAGAGTAAATTTGCATTATTAATTTATGTATGCACTTTTCAATTCATTGCACTCAATAAAATGCAAATTCAACATAAATTTTTTATCAAAACATTTAATCAATTTCTATTTCATACGGAAATATTTATTGCATACATGCTAGGCGCTCAATATTAATTTATTTGGCTTTTAGATTATAGCTTTTAAATATTTTCATATAAATTTTAAGCAATTTTTTTATTGCTATAAAATTTTTTAAAGTAAAATAAACAGAAAATAACTACATATGTTAGCAATAAATGCATATATATCTATGTGTATAATTTGTATAATGCAACATGTTTTTATGGTGTTTTCTGTTCATATAGATAAATATATGTGGCATTAATTCGTTATAAGATAAATAAAATTGATAAATTTAACCACACTTTTATTGCACATCGAAAGTTGATGTTTATTTGTGGGAATTTTTGCTTAAATTTTTTGCGAATAGTAGTGAAAATTGCTATACAATTTTAATTGAAATCAAAGTATTATAAATAGTATTTAAATTATTCAATTTAAATTTTTATTATATTTTAATTGATCTTAAAATCCTTTTAGGTTTATATTTTCAAATATTAAATAAAATATGTTTGGCTATATAAAAAGCTTTCATATACTTCCTATTCTAAGAGGTGACCTTGCTCTTCTCTTACTTACCAAAAATAGCATTATACTGACTGGACACCTAAGCCTTCATTTTCTCTGTTTTCTGTTAACAATCCGATTGTATGATCTTGGTAACCTCGTACTGTGCAAAAAAAAGTACCGTACTTAAAAGTCACCCGCTCACTGTAACTGTCGTATGTAGTTGTGGAAGAGAAGAGAGAAGGAAGAGAAGAGAGAAGGAAAAGAAGAAAGGGAAAAGTATCTTTGTCTGTCACTGTCCTGAATCTGTCACTTTCCTGAATTTGACTAAAAAGATTTATAATATTTAAAGTCTTCAGTCTCTCTTTAAGGGTCTGTCGATATTGCAGATATAGCAACCAAGTACAAAGGAGGGAAAAAGTATTTCTTATCCAATTTAACAATGTCCTGAATTTCACCAAAAGGATTCATAATATTTAGAGTCTTCAATCTCTCTTTAAGGGTTTGTCTATATTGCAGATATAGTAATCAAGTAGAAA